TTTAGCGTTGATTTGCAGCGTTCGTAAATTTCTCAGTGAAAGGGAGTTACGTCCCTTCGGCCATCAAATGGGCTGCTGACAGCGAAAAAATATTGTACCTTAAACTAAATATTCATTTTATAACAATTTAAATTTGTTTTTCATCTTTTTAAACAAAACTTGTGGACTTTTTCATTTTAGCAAAATCAAAAACATTTTTGATTATGTATTCAAAATATGGCAGTGTTCGTACGATAAATATACGGAACATGGTCAGAGGTACACTATTATTTCCGGATTTTACCGGACATATTTTTTATTTTTATTTTTATTCCTTTGCATATATGTGTATATATATATGTGTGTGTGTGCGTGCGTATATATATTTGTGTGTATCTCTCTCTCTCTCTCTCTCTCTATATATATATATATATATATATATGTGTGTGTGTGTGTGTGTGTCTATGTGTATATATATATATATATATATATATATATATATATATATATGAAAATATGATGTTAAGGTGTGCTGTATTTATGGGATAAATTGCTCAATATCAGAGAGGCATATGAATAAAAAGTGAACATTGATCCCAACACCAATCGACAGACTGTTTAGTACTGGAAATCGTCAGGCTGCTGTATATGAATGTTGCCCCAATGTTCACTTTTGTATTTATATTTACATACGCTCTATCTGATATGGAGCACTATCATAAATAGAGCACACCTTAAACTATTTTTTCTATATATATATATATATATATATATATAGTTGTATATTTAGCAGCAATCCTTCGTTTATTCATGTTTCATTAAAAACGACAGACAAGGTACTTCGGGTACCTTGTGTGTGTATTTAAATGGGTTCTAATGGAGCTGTGATCAGACGTTTTACGTTACACCTATCCAATCACTGATCACATCTTCATTAGAACCCATTTAAACACACACACAAATTTACCAGACTCCATTAGAAACATACTAGTAGAAAACACAAATATATTAACTCCATCCACCTGCAAAAAAAGATTAAAAATAATGGAAGCTTTAATAATAAAAAAAAAACAACTCTTAACAATATTAACTACGAACAAAGCCACAATGTGCAAACCGTATTCGGAAATTAAAACATCCCTACAACACACTAAAACAAACACATAATGCACACACTCAATTAAGCTGAAAAATTGAATCATTCTTGATAATGGCTAAAGGTATAGCCGAAAGCTCTGGGAAATATAAAACATTTGGACAGTTTTTACACACCCTTTGCCCAGAAAAGAAAGCTCTTATTGTATATTTGGGCGGCAACTTTTCTTTTAAACATATTTCGTTAAATATAACAGACAAGGAAAATTTAATTAATCTTTTATTTATTTTTTCCAGCGTTCTTGCACTTTTTTCGTTTCGTGGGAGTCGGGGGCAGTCCAAAAATGTTCCATATTGTCCATTGTCTCAAGCGCTTTCAGACACTCCTTTAGCCATTTTTAAGGTTGGGGGTATCTTAGGTTTGTGTTCATTTCGCTTCATCTTTTGATTATTTAAGATGGATTTTATTTTTGTGTTGATTTGAACACTAGTAGGAGCGTTTATTCCGAGACTTCGTTTGTTGAGCGTGGTTAGAATTCTAGAGCACCCTCCTCTCTCTCTCTCCCCATATATATATATATATATATAAGAATAGAAGCGGGTGTGTTTGTGCTTCTGTCAAATTCGATACTGGGGAAAAGAGCATTTTGCCCACTATTTACATTATTCGGACTATTGTCCTCATCCTCATGCCGCCGTATTTATTAAAACGTTTCGACCGTTGTACGCGCCGGCCTTCTTCAGGTGGTTGGAATGTCGAACTGAACCCTTTATTTCGCTCACTGGGGTAGACTGCTCTAGTTTCACGTGCTATGTTTGATGGATGTCAGTTATAAGTTATCTTCACTTAATTTCCCTCTGAACCATCTCTCCACTGCCTTAACCGAGTATTGAACTTACACTCTTTGGGTCCAGTCATTGGATTCTAACCAAGGTATTTATCCACTGTGCTATGTTTCCTTGAGGACAAAGATGAGGACAATAGTCCGAATAATGTAAATAGTGTACATAATACCTGATCTCAGAAATATAGACAGAGATAGAGCATATGTAAATATAAAAGTGAACATTGAAGTCAACACTCAGAGGCGACAGACTGTTTCATGCTGAACCCAATCGTCAGGCTGTCTAGTATGAAAGAGCCTGTCGCCTCTGAAAGTCGAAACGTTGTAATAAATATGGCAACAAAAATGAAGACAATAGTCCGAATAATGTGAATAGTGTACATAATACCTCATCTCAGAAATATAGACAGATACTGAAAGGCCGAAACGTTGTGATAAATATGGCGACAAAGATGAGGACAATACTCCGAATAATGTAAATAGTGTACATAATACCTCATCTCAGAAATATAGACAGAGCTTTTTGCTTTTGCCAAGGTTGACAATGCAGTAATGTTTCCTTTTTCCCATTTGCTGATCTT